TGTGTGGGGGGGGAGAGGGCTGAGGTATGTGTGTAAACCAGGGGGAAGAAGCTGATGGAGGCGTCTAGGACGCCCAAGAGCAAGGGCTGCTGCTAGGGATGCGTCCTGGGTGACAGCCCCCAAGAGAATGCCCAGAGCAAGGACAGTGCGGCCGCAGGGCTTTCTGTCGATGGGAGGTGGGATGAGGGAGCTTGAGCTGGCTGGCGTCCACCTTCTCAGTCATGGAGGAGTGAGGTCACTGGGGAGAGTGAGGGGGCAAGGCAGTTGGGGACTCGAGGAGATGGAAAGGTTCGTAACAGCTGCTGTGGGGAATGCAACCGGGAATCCGCAGAGCCAAATACCAGACAGCTGAGCTGAGCTGGAGGGCGCCGAGGGCGCTGCAGTGCTTTGCCATCTCTCCACCTACTTTCTGCAGCTTGGAGGCAGAAACAGGAAGTGGGCAGTGTCAGGACCCAGGGTTGAGATTGGGCCAGACGCACGATGGTGGCTGAGGGTGGCAGGAGCGGCTGAGAGAGCCATGTAGTGATCATTGGTCAAGGGGCCAGGCTTTGGGAGAGGCAAGCCGGCAGGAAGGGCTTGATACACGAGGCACGTGGGGAGGGTTGGGAGTCAGGAGCTAAAGCCTTTCTGAGTAGGTTCATTCAGGAGTGGAATGGGGAGAGGGAGAGGAAGGTAATGGTTGGGAGGTTAAGCCCAGGAGCTTAGAGGTAGAGAGACTGGTTGTCTGAGGTGGCTGGTGTTGCATGGGGAAGGTGCCTGAGGAGTAGGGATATTGGGAGTCATTGGAGTTAGAGCTGGAGGTCCGAGTGCCATGGGTGTTGAAGCTGTGACATCCATGCTGGTAGGCAGACAGGGAAAATTGGGGGCCAGACTGAATGTGTCCTGAAGGAGTGTCGATACCCCCGGGGAGCTGATGTGTATGAATAATTCGTAATGGAGAGTGGAACAGGCAGTGAAAGAGCCTCCAGAGAGTGACGTCATTCTGTCCCCAAGATGCCAGGAAGGGAAGACTGGGCAAGGAAAAGGTGAAGCCCACATTGCAGGGGGGGCTCAGAGGGGACAGAGTCCCTTAAGAGCAGGAAGATGGCTAACACCTGGGGCATCTGTGGCTCTGTGCTTCCTGGGAGGATGAAGCTGATGCAGGTGGGGGTGTGAATGTGGGAGATCCAGGGTGCCATGGGAGGAGATAGCTGGGAGGCTTTGGAGTTCCAGGTACTACTGGAATAAAGGGATTTGCAGGCAGAACATTACTGATGGGGGCCATAGTCCTGGGTGGTCTGACCGGTAACAGAAGCTCAACCCTGGGCTTACATTGGAGTGTCTCGTGGAAATGCTGGAGCAGGTCAGACAGCCCCTGAGCACCTCCCAGGAATTCTCAGGATCAAGACGGTGTCCTTTTAACCTCACCTGTGCCCCCAGTCTCCAGCTCTCAGGGTCCCCTAAATAGGAGGAATAGGCTGGCCTAGGGAGTGGCCCTTCTCTGGGGTCTGCTGAGAAGGGAGTGGGGACCTCTCAGGAGGGACCCGGGACCTCTGCCTGGGGAGCGGGGGCTGGGCTCCTGCAGACAGCGCTGGGGGTTTAACCTGTGATTCCCGCCTGTGTTGTATCCTCACGCTGACAGGGGCTGCTCAGCAGCAGGCGGGCCGGGTAGGTGTGGGTGCACACGCCATGGCGCCAACCTCTTACATGGGGGCTGTGTCCCAGCATGCTCTGCGGGGTTGGTGCGGGCCTGGTGTGTCAGTGCTTCAGTGACCTTAGCTGCTATGTGCGTGGCCTCCGTCTGCTCAGTCATTCTGGCCTGTCTGTGACTGCCCTGGGAGTTCGGGTCATCCCCTTCCCTTTGTGTGGTGTTGGGGGTCGGGGAGGGAGAATGAGGAGCTTTCAGGGTCACACCTGAGTGTCTGGCAAATGGGAGGGAGGGAAGTTAGTCCTCATTGGAAGAGAAGTGGATAAGCTGACTGGGGTCAGTGCTTGGAAGGGGCGGCCCTTAAGAGAGTGTGAAGGAAGTGTTGGGGTTTCAGGTGCGCTCCCACGGGGCCCCAGGGCCTCTGACCATGAAGGAGGTGGAGGAGCTGGAGCAGCTGACCCAGCAGCTGATGCAGGACATGGAGCACCCTCAGAGGCAGAATGTGGCAGTCCATGGTGAGCCCACCACCCACCCGTTGCGACTTGTCCCCCTCTTCCCGGACTCCTCTCTCAGGCAGCTGATCCCTTGCAAGCTCATGCCCTTCCTCCTATTTATTTATGTCTTTTCTGGCCTTCCCAGAGTCCTGTGGCCGGTGTCACCAGCCCCTGGCACGGGCACAGCCCGCAGTTCGTGCTCTGGGGCAGCTGTTCCACATCACCTGCTTTACCTGTCACCAGTGTGAGCAGCAGCTGCAAGGACAGCAGTTCTACAGCCTGGAGGGGGCACCATACTGTGAGGGTTGCTACACTGTGAGTCAGGGTTGGGGCTGAGGGGCATGCCAGCACTCAGCTGCGGGTGGGGGCTGATGTGAGGCCCACACACCTTGGCAGCTAACTGTTGGCAACCAGTTATCTGCCATTCCCCTGCTGATACCTCCTCAGGACACCCTGGAGAAGTGCAACACCTGTGGGCAGCCCATCACTGACCGAATGCTGAGGGCCACGGGCAAAGCCTACCACCCGCAGTGCTTCACCTGTGTGGTCTGCGCCTGCCCCCTGGAGGGCACCTCCTTCATTGTGGACCAGGCCAACCGGCCCCACTGTGTGCCTGACTACCACAAGTGAGGACCCACTGCCCACCTTCTAGGCTTTTTCTCTGGGCGCCAGCTGTGGTTTCTCTGGGAGCAAGACTGCCCTCTAGACACCGAGACAGTGCCAAACCCCTAGCCTTGCTTTCTGGCCCCACATCTCTCTGTAGACAGCAGAGCCCAGCTCATCTGGACTTAGATATCCAGTGGCCTTAGACTTGAAAAACAAGTCTTGCTACTGGCTAGTCCGCACTGGCCCTTGGCTCTCCAGGCCTCTTTTGGGTGTGGTCTTGGTTTAGCCATGTGTGCTGGAGGGACTCATTTCACACACAAGCTGGATTCTAGAAGTTCCTTTGGAGCTGAGCTGTTTGGAGCTTTGGTTTTCCCCTAGAAACAGTGTTTACAAGGTGGCCACTTTTCTGAGGTCAGTGCAAAATCCCGTAATGTGGCTGAAGGGAGGTACAGGAACACTGCAGAATCTGACTTCCGCTTCTGCTGGTGTGTTTGAAGTGAACACTCAGGGCTCCACCTTGGGTGGCCAGAACTTCACATCCCCCGTACACCCCAGCAGTTGGCAGAGGTGCCCGCATGGTGCCGGGAAGGCTAGGGGTCAGGATCAGAGGTGCCACTGTGGGGCGTGCTCTCTGCAGGAACTGCAGTATGGATATGGCAAGGGGTAAGCACCTGGAGGCAGAGGTTCCTGGGAGATGGGGCTTTGGGAGGGGCAGAAATTCCCCTTGATGAGGGCTAGTCATGGTGACCTATCTAGGCTTTTCTGTTGAGCTTCCCCCACCTAGAGATAGGGGCCAAGATAGGCAAAGAAGTCTGCCCCATTGCCACCCAGCTGCCACCTCATTTCCCTGTGCCCACGAGCAGCTGGGGTGCCATGCACCCCCATTCTGACTGCCACCTCTGCTTTTGGCCCCTCCAGGCAGTATGCCCCCAGGTGCTCTGTCTGCGCGGAGCCCATCATGCCTGAGCCTGGCCGTGAGGAGACCGTGCGCGTGGTTGCTCTGGACAAGAACTTCCACATGAAGTGCTACAAGTGTGAGGTCGGCCGGCCCTGCGGCCCTCGGGGCTGGGAGGTGGTGGGTGCCCTCCCTGGAAGCAGTGCTGGGGTTTTGCGGTGGTCAGTGGCAGTGCTCATGCCGGCCCGGCCCAGTTGCTTCTGTCACTGTGGGAAGTGAGGTGGGTTTCCGTGGGGTCACTGAGGTGGGGAGAGGCCGAGACAGGGCCCTGACAAATGGGAAGGAGGGTGTTGTGCTTCACTGTGGCAGAGGCTGGGGGTCTCTGCACTTAAGCAAGAGTCAGAATGGGGCTGGGGCAGGTGGGAAAGGCCCCATATCTGTCACTGTGGTAGGCGCCTGGGAAGCTGCCTTGGGCAGGAGAGGCCGAGGAGACAAAAGTAGAAGTCAGGGTGGAGGTTAGGTTAGGAGTGGGCAGTGGGTCTGGTTGGGGGACACAGATGAGGCCACCAGCTGAGCCATGAAGTGTTTGGTCTTCCTAATTTAAATATGGGGAGAATCATGGGGTGCACAGGGGCCTGCATTCTCATGCATTCTTTCCTGCTCAGGACTGTGGGAAGCCGCTGTCCATTGAGGCAGACGACAACGGCTGCTTTCCCCTGGATGGTCATGTGCTCTGCCGGAAGTGCCACACTGCCAGAGCCCAGACCTGAGTGAGGACTGGCCGCCTTCTCAACTGCGAGTCTGTTCCCCACAGTGGGCCACCCATACTGAGACCACCCTCCCCTCCCCCACCTGCCCCCCAGTTACTTTTGATGTCCAGCCTCTCCATCCACACCAAGTCCATCCCCATATTCCTAGTGCCCTGATCCAGGGCCCCCGTGTAGCATAGGGCTGCAGAGGCCCTGGGTTTCTAGTCCTCCCCCATCCTGCAGGGACCACCCACCTTCCTCCAGGTACCCCACCTTAGGGGCGCTAGGTTGCACGCTGCTTTCACTGCTGCACCGATGCCCTTGGCTGGCCCCTGAGCAGCCTCCCACTTCGCTTGCTGAGGGCCAGGGGACGCCCTGCTCCCCAGGAGGCAGGGCTGGGTTGCCCTGCCTCAATATTCCTACCTGCCCTTGTGCTGCCAGGTTGTGGCTCCAGCTACAAATAAACCTTGTTTTCCAGAATTCGTAGTAAACTCTTGTGGCTATAGTCCTCACGGGTGGGATGGAGGAATTAGAGGGATTAAAACATCAGGGGTAAAGGTGAAAACTCAATTCCTGTTTATTTACAAAAATATATCTGTATATGTATATATATATTAAACCCTCCCTAGCTCCCTCCCCCAATTACCTTTTTTACTTCTACCCCCACCTCCCTTTTTAAAATAGGCTCCAGGCTGAAAGGCACCTCTCTCAGGGAAGGCTGGGTGAAGCAGCACCAAAGGCCTCCATCTGGGGGAAGGGGAGGGCAGGGCCGGGGCATAATGAGTGGCCTTGGCCCCATCCTTGCTCCCCGAGGATAGGGTGGGGTGAGAGGAGGCCTCAGTCCTTGAAACCCTGAATACTGCAAAGAATGCGCTTCTGGTGTCCCGGCAGTGTGATCCCCATCTGTGCCAGGTCCCTGTGGGCAAGGAAAGGATGGTGAGCCTGTGGGCTCAAACCCCAGCAGCCCTCCCCTGCCCGTGCCCCCAGGGTCCTCACTCGGCCGTCAGCTCCAGCACACACTCCATGGTGTCCAACCCAGCCGAATGGAAGTGCAGGATGTAGCGTTTCATTCGTATAGACTCCAGCCACTCAGGGACACTTCGATAAGGAATCCCATCTGAGCCACTCAAGCTGGGAAGCCGGAGGGTCACCCTGTGGGGACATGAGCTGCCTTAGTCACATGGGAGATGCACGGGCTGTCCTTGGCCTTTGAGTCCTCAGCTTTCCTGAAATCGGGGCCCAGCCTATGAGCATCTGCAGCCAGCATTCAAGTTGGGTGTCTGAGCAGAGAGATTAGACTTTGTGGGTTCGCCTGGCCATTGTCTGGGAACCCATTTCCTGGCCTGTTTCCTGGTAGGCTCACAGCGACGGGCAGGCCAACAGGCCTGCTACACTGATAGACCTGGGTGAAGCAGCAGCCCCGGAAGCCCCCACAGGGAGTGTGCCACCAGCCTATCTGCCACTGGAGCAGCCAGTTCTGGACAGCTGGGGGCTGGTTAAGATATCACAGTTTCAACTTTCTCAGCTGAGGAAGCAGAAGGCAGAACAGAGGCCCTGGAAGCCAGCTGTGGGCCTGCCTTTTTCCAGGGTGGCCCCTGGAGTTCTGGGAGCAGCCTCTGCCTGCCACCTCCAACCTCAGCTGTTACTCTTGCACGCTGACACTCACAATACAATGACTGTCCCTGTACTAAAGCCAAACAGAGCCAAAAACCATTAGCAAAGTAAATCTGCTGGGGGAAAAATATCCAGCATTCCAGAAAGATTAGCACATGCAGTCTCCAGTGTACAAGGGAGTTGTGCTCCAAAAGATAGTTTCAAAAGTTGGAACTTGGAGCACATTTTCTCCCAGAAACAAGGTTATATATGGTGGTTTGATAGAGGCCAGCATGCCAGGGCTGGTTCACCCGGTAAAGCATTTGAAATCCAGCCCTGCCCTTCTCCCCTACCTTCCCCTGCTACTAGGTCATTTGCCACATTCTGGCATTGTTTTTGGTAAAATAAAATTCTGACCATGTCCCTCCCATGGACAATTTAGAAAAACTGGTTACCAGTTCTCTGCATTCAGGATAAAATCCAAATTTCTCAGCAGAGTGGGTCCTCTTGCACTCACTCTGCTGCTCTTCAGCTTATCTCTGGCCACAGTCCCTGAACTGGACACCCCTGTCACCCTGCATTATTTTCAATTGGCTTGCCCTGGCCATGTGATCTGGGGGCCCTTCCAGACCCCACAAGGCTGCCCCAACCAGTCATGCCATGCATCCCCACCCTCAGCTTGGATGGAGCTGTGTGGAGCAGGTATGAGGTCACAAGCACTGCTTCTCCATACTTCCCATCTCAGTGTGTCTGCTTCCTATCTTTATCAAACTGGAGCTATCAGGGGTGGGGCACATCTCCCCATCGGGGTGGATTCTCCCTGAGGGTACAGACTGTGGTCCTGCCCCATATGCTGAACTCTGTCCAGAGCTCCACAGGCCCAGCACTTAGTGGATGTGACTAAATGCCCACTTCCATTCTCCCAGATCTGCCCTCCAAATTTCCCCTCCCCAGTGTGGTCACCTGGGATCAAAGTTGGCAATGGTCCGCAGAGAGTGGGGGTTGGCAAGCAACTGCTCCAGATGTGCTTTCAGATGGTGGAAGTGGGGCCGGCGGGCATGATCGTAGGCCCAGCAGTTCTTCATGAGTTCATAGAGCGCGGCAGGGCAGTCCAGGGGAGGGGGCAGCCGGTACCCCTCCTCAATGCTTTTCATTACCTGCAGCAGGGGAAATAGGAGTAGGTGGCTAACCCGGTGGTCCAAGAGAAAGGTCTGTTCCCACAAGGTCAGACTGCAGCAGAGCCTCTAAACCACCCTGGCCAGCAGTAGAGAGAACGGTATAAGGCAAAGGGACCAGAGGAGATAGGAGTGCAGGAGAATTGTGGGTCAGGAAGAAGAAATAAAAGATACTTGTAGGAAGGGCTGTGAGAGGATTTAGGGAGGGGGTGAAAGGTGAATAAAGAGGTGATGCAGGGACGTGTACCTCAGGCTTACCTCCTGATTGCTCATCTCCCCGTAGGGCTTGTCCCCAAAGCTCAGCACCTCCCACATCACAATCCCAAAGCTCCACACATCACTGGCCGTGGTGAAGATCCGATGGGCGATGGCTTCAGGGGCTGTCCAACGGATGGGGATCTTTCCTCCCTAAAAGGGCATGGGGGACACAAAGGTGATGTGTTTCAGGGCATGGAGGGAATGAAAAAAACACCTGTGTGAAGGGGATGGGCAATGACTGCCCACATGAGCATGCATCCTGTACTCATGTGTGGCTGTAACTCTGTGTGAACATGTACACAGTGAGTGTACAGGGCTCTACCTGGGTTTCATAGGTGCCATCAAAGTTGTCCAGGAGGCGGGTCAGGCCAAAGTCAGACACCTTGCAGCACAGGTTCTGACCTACTAAGATGTTCCTGGCGGCCAGGTCCCGGTGGACATAATTGTGGTCACTGAGGTAGTTCATACCAGATGCAATGCCCTGCAGCATGGCCACCAGTTGCCCAGGGGCCAGCTGGTCCTCCCGCTCCTGCAGCAGGGTGAGGGGGTGAGTTAGGGGATGGACAGGGTCTCCTCTTCCCAGACCAGCAGCAGTACGCAGGGCTCTGTGTGCATGCCCCTTGATCTGCCCTCCTCACCCTCAGGAAGGCGTCCAGGGCTCCATTCTCCATAAACTCTGTGATGATCATGATGGGTTTTCCTGAGACACAAAGCACACGTGAGCACGGCGCACACCTCTCCCCAGACCCAGACTTCCTGTCCTCCTCAGCAGCACATCTTCCCTCCACGCCTGGTGGTCCCACCCCCATCCCCACTCGCCCTTCCCATGCTCCTGGAGACCAATCCTCATACTCTTTGTGATGACACCTTCCAGGTGCAGAATGTGTGGGTGATTGAACTGGCCCAGGATGGTTGCCTCACGGAGGAAGTTCCACCACTGGCCATCTGGAGATGTGTCTTTCAAAGTCTTAATGGCCACAGTCTTGCAGTTTTGGCTGGGGATTCTAAGGGTCCCTCGATACACTTCCCCAAACTCTCCTGGGTGGAAAGAAAACAGGGTCATGGCCCTGTGCACTGTCAGGCTCCCCTAGGGGGCAGGAAGCAATATCCTCCAGCCCCCTAAGTGTCTTCTTCTCTGGACCAGAAAGTGGCACACCCTTTTTGGGACAAGGGCTTGGGCTGTACTTCCTGGGGAAGGGGACTGGAGTGTGGAACTGGAGAACAGCTCTGCAACCTGTTTAGCGCACTCTCCTAGGTTAGCACAGTTCTTGGCTAACAGAAGGTGCTCAATAAATGCTGGGTAAATGTACACTCTGAGGTGGTACTGGGGTGTGTTAATGAAGGCAGGCTGGTCCAGGGCCAGTGTGCAAGTGATGGGGGAGGCTGACTGTTGCTACCCTCTTCCATAGGCTCCTCTGGTCAGAGCTCAGCTGGCTTGGCTGCTTAATCTGCAAGGACACAGTGAAGCTTTGTTCTCTGCTCAGAACTTTCCTCTGGTGACCCAAGGGATGAGGGCAGCCCAAGGACACTAGGCCTCTGGTGGGGTGCAATGCCAGGTGAGGAAGGCCCTGAAGGCCCTGAATGGGTCCCACATTTGAGAATAGCCAGAGCCTGGGCATGATGACCCCTGTGTTGACAAAGACAATGTGTTTAACGTTCTTTATCAGAAACTCCATGGCCACAGAAGTGGATCCTGCAAGAGGTGGGGGCTGCTCCAAGACACTTGATAAGGGGGTTATGACGTGACTATCCAGGGCAGACAGATGGTAGAGCAGAGAGGGAATGCATCTGGGAGCTCTTGGACCAGCAGAGAGGCCAGCAGACTCTACCATGAAGGGCTGGTAGGAAAGGGCAGCTGGAAGCTCTGTGCTGCCACAGATGGGACTGCAGGGCTCACCTTCCCCTATGACAGTGTCCACAATCAGCCAGGCTGGGTCAAGCTCCTGGGTGAAGTCCAGGGCTCCCTGGGCAGGGTCCTCGTATGCTTGGAGGTCCACATAAGGCTTCAACCATAGCTTGTCCTCTGCAGGGAGAACAGAGAGGACTCGGCCACAGGAGTGCCAACTCCAAGGCTCAGGGGTACTGGGCGGGGAGGAGGGGTCACACAGCAGACACTAGACCTCTCATTCTCTGTTCCCTAAGGATCCTGTTTTGGCTGAAGTGGGAGAAATTCTCTATCTTTAGTAACAAAGCCTCCACAGCCCAGCTGCTCTCCTCCTGTCTATGCAAAGCAACCATGTCCTCACCCGAGCCCAGAGCAGTGGGCCAGAACCTAGACCCAAAAGAGGGTTCGTGGCCTTGAGTTACCCTCTTCCCATGGCTAGTTGGCCCACGCTTCAAATTCCTTGCCCTTTCTCCTCACTGCTGCTTGCCATACTCCTCCAGTCACTCATACCTCATTGACATTCCAGACAAGCCTCCCTCACACCCAGGTTCTTGGACGGTCCACTGGCTGCCCCGTAGTGAGACCCCTAATGAGGTGACCAGCAGGATGCCCACATGCCTCAGAGGACTTCAGGGAGCCTGCCAGCGATTTCCCTCCCACCAGCCTTAGTCCACAGACCTGACCAGCCAGGATGGGGCTGCTGCTCAGAGCCTGGGTGTTGTCACAGTGGTACCAACAGCTAACAGGTAACTGCACAGAGCCTCGGGGGGGGCCACCAGTGCCAAGTTGATTAACCAAAGTTAATTAGGTACAAAACACAAGAGCCCTAAAAGTAACAGACCCCACTGGTGTGCCCTGAATTGGCCTAGCAAACGTGGGTCCCTTGGTCCCATCCCAGTGGTATCTCCTAAGGCACATGCACACCCAAGCACCCACTCAGGTGCTCCTGATGTACCTCGGTCCACGTCAGCGACACGATCACGTGGCCTCTGTTGCCGTTGCCGCTGAGCTTTCCTGTGGGAACCAGGGCCAACTCATTCAGGGTCCCCAGACCACCTCAGGGGCCCAACAGGCTCCACTGAGTTTCCCCGGCAAACAAGGACTGGGGGCACAGGGTGGGTGTGGGCACACACTGGCGCTCTGGTACCAGGGATGGGAGGGTCGTTGGGGTTGCACTTAGGGGCTTCTGACTGGGCAAAGGGACCCAGGATGGTGGGCAGGCAGGAACAGGTATGGCACCTGGAACGGAACACAAGGATCCCGAGCAGCAGAGCTACACCCAGCAGCAACCCGAAGATGATGGCCACGATCTCTCCTCCAGTCAGGCCCCTGGAAACTGTTGCACAGGGATGAAGAAGTCTGGGGGGTTCAGAGTCCACAGAGATGACGGAGGCTAACAGGGCACACCCAGGGGCAGGTCTCTCAATGGGTCTTGAGTGTGTGTACCCTAACCTGGGAGACAGGTGTGTGTGTGTGTGTGTGTGTGTGTGTGTGTGTGTGTGTGTGTGTGTGTGTGTGAGAGAGAGAGAGAGAGAGGGGAGAGAGCGAGCCTGTGGAAAGGGCCTCACACAAGGGCGCATGAGGGTTAGATTTGATGGGCTACTGGCTGCTGTACTTGGTATCAGAAGGTGTGTGAAGAGATCGCTATGGGGAGGGGGCCTACTGTGACTGTGTGTGGGACTGTCCCCCAATGGCAGTTTTTAATGTGTGTATGCATGTGTGTGTGTGTGTACGTGTACAGGTAAGGTCACTATTTGGAACAGGGTCAGAGAAGCCTCAGTGGGGTGACAGGGTGTGTGTTTGTTTGATGCAAAACACAGATAACCAACCCACCTGGTGGGCTGGTCCGAAACTCATGGTCAGGGGAGAAAGGGCCAGGACCCAGTGGGGTCAACATTCGGACTCTGACGATGTATGTGGTGTCTGGCTGCAGTTCGGTCAGCAAGACCCTGGGTTCTAGAACCATCTGGTACCGTTCTTCATCCTGTGGATGGGGACTTGTGTTAACTGGGCTTTTCCACGCCAGACCTGGTGAAGGTGATGGGCAGTCTTGGGATCACGTGGGGAGGTGTGGGTTGGGGAATGGCAGGGCTCTGTAGACTTTTGTCCTGAGAAAGCCATGCAGTTCACTTCGGTAGTTTCCCTGGTATCCTGCAACCAGAGCTAGGAATGTTGGGGTGCGCCTCGGTATGGACACCAGAGACACTCTCTCAGCCTCATCCTTACCTGGTTCAACACGTGCAGCTCGTAGGTCAGGTTTCCCCCGGGGCTGCGGAGCCGGGCCCCTGCCCAGGTCAGCTCCAGCTGCCGGGGCTCCTTTTTCACCAGCCTCAGAGTCAGGCCTGACAGTGACTCTGTGAGCCAGAAAATTCCAGTGGATTTGGAAAGAAAGAGGAACTAACTTTAGCTTTTCGATTGCTTCCTGCACATCAGTTTGTTTCCGTGGTCCTAAGCCCCGGGGATTTCCTCCAGGTCCTGTCCTGGCTCCTCCCCAGGCCTCTCACCTGCGTGCCCCATGCTGATGCTGAGCGAGGCGCTGGCGTGCTTGGAGGTGCCCAGCCCCGACACTCCATTTTGGGCTTCAACGTTGAAGGTATAGTTGGCATAGGGTTCAAGGCCATCGACTCGCACAGCACGCGTGGTGAGCCCACTGGCCCCTGGGGAGAAGCGCACACTTCCCCCACAGGGCTGGCAGGGGTCCCCATCCAGCACTGCTCCCCGACACTGGGAACACCTCACACTGTACCTCACATCCTGGCGCCCCCCCATATCTGCTGGGGGTTCCCAGCGCAGGGAGAGCTGAGTCCCCGAAACAGAGAAGCTCAAGTTTCGGGGGATGGAGGGAGGACCTGTGGGAGAGGGGGGGCCGTCAGTGGGAGCAGCTTTGTGCTCACCCAAGCTACTGGCTCCTCCTCTCCTCCTACCACCCCAATCCTTGAAGTCCTCCCAAGGTCTTGCTGGGAGGATGGATTCCTACTGAGGAAAAAGTAGCTTAACCACATCTCTGCATTCTTTCAGGGAGAGCAGGGGTTGTGAGTGGGGGCCTCTAGCACCCTGAACAATCCCCAGTATCTAATAAACTGGAAAATTCCAACCCTAATCCGGGCTCAACAAAGGTCCCACACCTCCTCACAGATGACCAGGCCCTGCCCCCAGACTCACGTGTGCATGCAGCCTGGGGGCCCTCCCCAGGGGCTCGGTGATGGCCACTCTCACACATGCAGATGGTGGCCCCCTCAGCCTCAGCTGCACTGTGTTGGGGGCACTTGAGGCAATGGGGTGTATCCATGTCTGCCCTGTAGGAGCCGCTAGTACAGGCTGGAGAGAGAAGGCAGTGGAACCATGGTTGTCCAGTGATTTTGCAGGCAGATTCACCCCCACCCTGCCCCAGGCCGTTATACTGGAAACACTGCACATGTGTCTTCCTGGGTCCCTGAACCACTCACTCAGTTGGAATATTGCTGAGATAAGAGCATCGGCATCCTTCCCTCCCTTGGTATGTGGCAACTCCCCCAGTGGTCCCTGAAGGTTCTCACCACCTTGAGTCTCCCTACCAAGGCATCCTCCACTGCTGCTGCCTTCCTCGTAGCCAGGTTCACAGTGGCACTGCCCCACTGGCACCAACCATTCACCATCGGGGCTGCAGTGCATACGGGGTGCACCTGAGGGGCTGGTGCTGGCTTGGGCATGAGGCAAGCAGGTTCCTGCCACTTCTTCCAACCCGCCAGGTCCAGGGAGAGTGTCAGGGAATCGGGCCAAGCTGTGCACAACCTCAGGACAGCGCTGGTAGAACACCCGTACAGACACCAGGGCTACACAGGCACCCGGGTTGTGGAAAGCGAGGTAGAGGCCGCGGTGGGTCAGGCGGCCCAAGGAGCAGCGCTCCACATTCAGTTTCACAGCTCCAGATGCCAGGTCTCGAATGGTAAAGCTCTGGTCTGCAGCCACTGTGGTTACCTGGGAAGAAGGTGAGGGGAAAAAGAGCAGTGACACAAAGTCAAGCTTTGTCCCATCTGAGAGAAAGGATTATTTGCTTAATACAATTTACAAAACCATAAACCAAGTGCTTACTATGTGGGAGCTACTGAGCCAAGTGTTTCATGTGCATTACGCTGTTCAGTCCATGAAATAATCCTATAAGGTAGGATGGATTACCACCCCATTTAACAGATAAATGAACTAAGGCTAAGAGAGTTTAAAGGCCTCGTGCAAGATCACACGGCCACGATACCACAGGGCTAGGATTGGAATCAGGGCAGGGAGACACGACATCCCATATAATTTCCACTACTCGAGGTGTTTCCAACCTCAGTGCCAATGAGGTGATCAGTTATAAAGTGTGTCATCATTAATTTATTACTAATAACAAACTTTACAACATCCTCTTTGGGAAAAAAAATGAGAGCACATCTTACAAAGATATGTTCCTTACACTTCTATATCTCAGGACGTTTTCTTGAGTAAGAAAGAAAGGGATGGCATCAGGGAGACAGACTGCAGAGAACTGTCTTGCTACACAACTCTGGGTAGACTCACGGGGGTGTGTGGCATTTGACTGTAGTGGCTACTGACAGAAAAAGCCAAAATATCCTTCCCCTGCATCCACCATGTGCTGTTATCCCAATGGATGCTCACAAAGCCTCTAAAACAGGTAAGCCTGGCATTATCATCATCACTGTTTTAAGATGAGAAACCGAAGCTCCGAGACGTTAAGTCCAAAGTCGGGGCACAGCAGAGAAGGTACAGCAGCGCCTTCTTATCCGGGTTTGGCTCTCGGCGGGTCCGCCCCCCACCGCCGCGCCCCCATCAACCTCCACCCGGAAGTAGACGGCCTGAGGTCAACGGTAGCCTGACGCGGCCCCGCCGCAGGGCAGAGGTCGCCGGCCTCACTTCCCCTCCCACGTCAGCGCTGTCATTGCACCTCCTCGGGAAAGAGGTGAGTGAGGTATGGTAGAACACGGTCACGAACTGTTACTACAGCATATTGTTATAATTGTCCTACTTTATTATTGTTTGTCTCTTCTTGTGGCTAATTTATAAAGAGCCGGAGGTGCGTATGTGTAGGAAGAAAACAGTATGTACAGGGTTCAGCTATATCCGGGGTTTTAGGTCACCTCGGGGGGTCTCGGAAGGTATCCCCCGTGGGCAAGCGGGTGTCCTGGACTTAAATACACCTCTTCTGATTTCTAGTCACCATTCTTTCCGCCATCCCACATATAGACTCTTCCTGTTTTTGGAGCTTTCTCTTTTTCTTAGCTGAGGGGCCTCATGAAAAAAGAGGCAGGGATCAAGGTTAGGGCCGAAATGCACTGAGGGTTGGAAGCACCTTCTGGAACAAGGGCCGTCGGAGCTGAATGCCCACGTCCTGGTCACTCTCCATGTACAGGAGGTTGAAGGTCTCCTTGCAGCCCGGCGGCCTGGCGCCCCCAGGGAAACTCTTGCAGTCGCGCACAGTGAACTGCAGCTCCACGTGGACCCGGGACGCCTCCTCCCCGCGGTAGATCCAGTTGGAGCGAAGCCAGTGGTCAGTGTCTCCACCTTCCTGCAATGGGCAGTCCTGGTACATGTACAGCGGCGTCCCATTCAGAATCTGCTGCACCTCACTCCACTGCGAGAGGAAAATCAAGAGTCAGGCTCCAAGTCCCCAAACTCTGGCTTTCTAGAGCTGATGGGCAGGAATTTTTAAACTTAGTAAAAATAATAGCTAGCAGTGATCCAGCACTTACCAGGGCCAGTCACTGTTGTAAACACAGGAAACTGAGTCACAGGGGGGTCAAATAACTTGCTCAGGGTACTCAGCTATAAAGAAGCAGAGATGGGACGTGTACCCAGGCACTCGAGGCTCCAGAATTAATGCTCTTAATCATTCTGCCTCTATGTGTTTATTATAAAAGGTCCACGAATTAAAACTTACATATAATAAAGAATGAAACTCCTCCCATTTGTCCAGCTATTCCCAGAGGCAGCCACTTTGAACAATTTGGAGTAAAACTTCCCAGACTCTAGCTAATGCCTCTAGAGAAATGTTTGAGTGTTTTCCCAAATGTGTTTTTAACATAACTTCTGAAAATATACAAGTATTATTTTGTAACCTTTTTGTTTTAAAGAAAAGTCTTTGAAAGATGTCCACAAGAGTATAATATAGATTTACCTAATTCTTTTTAGCAATACATGAAACCGTATTCCCCTGTAGGGTCATACCATCATTTACTTAAACATCCACTTACTTCAGGACATTTAGGTATCTTCTAGTTTTTTTCTTTTTTTAAGTAAACATACAGATTTCTGCAAGATATTTGTAGAACTTTTGTATCAAAGGGTGAATATATTATAAACTTTATAAGATATTGGCAAATTGTCCTCCAGAAAGTGTTTATCATTTATCAAGACTTTTACCATTTATTACACTTCTACCAACAATGCACAAGGACTTATTTTCTCCAAATCTCATCAGCGCTGGATATTAATGGTATTTTTATATTTGACCAATCTTGTGGACGAAACATAGCTTCTCTATTTATATATTTCAAATATTTCCTCTTGTCATGCCACCTACTTTTACTAATTATGTCTTTGATGTTGACATACATTTAAAATATTTACATACTAACATCTACCTTCATTTGCGTTGTGTATATTCCTTGGGAAGTTCTCCCTCCCAAACTTATAAAATATAAAGTTGAGATGTAACTTTACTTTTGTTTTAAATTATGAACATCCAATTGTCAATTTATTGGCCAGTCTATACTTTCCACATTGATTTGCAATTTCAGTGTTAGTAACGCACTGAAGTCTTATATATGTGGGTTTGTATTTGGACTTCTGTTGATCTGAGTATCTTGTGCAATGTCACATGTTTTAATTATAGTTGCACAGTATGTTCTGATATCTGGGGGGACAAGTCTCTTATTTCATTATTATTCATTTTCAAAAAGATTCTCAGCCATCCTTAAGCATTTTCTCTGCCAGATGAATTTAAGGTAGATACTCTCAAATTCTATAAAATATTCCATTGATATTTTGGTTGCACCTCCCTTATTTTATAGACAAGAGACTGAGGCCCTTAGTTCACTATCCCAAGGGCTTCTTTCATTGCTACTTTCAGCTCTGGGAAAGGCAGGAAAAAGCACCATTCACTAAGAATTTGGGATGGGGTGGAGCAGGGGCAAGAAATATATGCTGCTGTGAGGCACATGCTTTTGCATTAAGTTAGGGGGTTCAAAGATTGGGCAAGGGGTGTCCGAGCAATGACACGGGAATGACAGAGGCACCCAGAACCTGTTCTTATGAGGAAGCTGTGATGGGGAGGCCTGAGTAGAATGAATGGGGCAGAGGTCAGGTGGAAGGGTGGTGGGTGGTTAATATGCAGCTCATTAGCTAGGTGGCTACAGCTACAGCTGGTGCCAGGAGAAACAGATGTTCCCAGCTGTGACTTGCCTCTCCTGGTTCCAGCAGTGACAGATGGGAGCAAACCAGCTGCCCAGAATCAGCAGGGAGGATCCTTTCACCTATCACTCAGGCTGCGGGCTCCTACATGGGTACATTCTGGGGAGCCTGAATCTGAGTGTGTATGTGTGTGTTCTAAAAAGATGGGCAGGGGAGGCAGTGACTGCTGTTTTCTTGCCCTCCTAGTGCAAAGCTCTTTAGCCTGAGCTGCAATGGGGCCTTACTTCCATTCCAGCCCAACTGGAGTGGAAGCGACTTGGATGGGAGTGGCCAGGGTCCAGGGCAAGCCCATGGGAGCCAGCAGATGGACCTACAGCCCTTACTGTGGAGTGATTAGCTGGTTTATGAGATGAGATGCCTATTAGGGCTGGCCTAATCCAGGATTTTCCAAGCAGCCCCTCCTGTAGGATACATTATGGTTTGGTCTATTAAATCTAATTATAGGCCAGTCTGTGGGAGAGCTGAGAGTGGAGTCAGGACCCTAGGACTCAAAAGGAAGGAAAGAAAGCAAGTAACCCCTACTCTTGAAATAGAGGCTGGAGCAGCACAGGGAAGAGAGAACACACAGTGAAGAGGTCCAGCACCAGAGGGCAGGGAGGCCTGAGGCCAGAGTCCTGGAGGCTGAGGCATCTGGGGCAGCCTCCAATGGCTGTGTGGTCATCTCTGCTGAGTGGCAGAAAGGTGCTGTCTGGGACTTGCAACCCTTCCTCTGCTCACTGGGTCTTAGGAATAACCAAGGAGGGAAGGGACTGGAGCAGGCTCGAACAGCTGGACTGTGTGGTGGGGCTGGCGAGGATGGAGGAGGTGCCAAGGGCTCAGGGACCTCTAGTGGGGCAGCTTATAACTTTGGGGAGTCAAAGGCCTTTAAGAATTTGATGAAAACTTTGTCCTCTCCAGAAAATAATGCACACGTACATACACTCCATTAAGAATATATTTAATATGTATATGGAATATATGAGGTTCCCTGACCCCCGCAATCCATCTCTGCAACTCCATTGGGAACCATGGGCCTCAGATTGACACTTGGGGTGTTTGGGTCTCAGCCTTCAACCATCCTCAGTCTGGCTGGTCTGTTCTCTCCCTGGGGGCTCTCCCCACATCCTTGGGAGTATTCAGCTCTCCCTCACTGGGCCAGGGGGGCGTGGAGTTCTCCATGGGGTGAAGCCTGACCACCCCCCCAAATGTCCCATTCAGGAGGCTCTGACTCATCTCCCCTCCCCCTCTCTGAGGAGACACTTCCAGTTTTTCCTGCTTTTTTCTCCGTTCCTCCACCCACCTCTCCGCCCCATTTCCCACTGGCCTTCAGCCTGTGCCCTCCCCAGACACTTACCCCGTCCTCTGGGGGATCCAGCAGCCAGCCCAGCTCTTCCTGTGCTGTACTCGTGTCCATCAGAGTGACTGAAGGTGGGGAGAGAAGGGACCTGTCACCTCTGGGGGAGGAGGTCCCGCATGTGCAACCCACATTCCTCATTCTGAGCCTGCAGCCCCAAGGCTTCAACAGCCTCTTCCTAACAGCTGTGACTTCCTGAGGTTTAGTGGGGGAAAATGGCCCAAGAAGCAGGAGTGAAGTACTCCAGGGAGTAGTCTGTCAGCCTCCGGAGTGTGAAGGGAGGGCGGCAGAATGGGGCAAGGGTTGGAGGGCTGGCTCTACGACCAAAGTCAACACAGGAAGCATTAGGAAGAGCAGCCGTAGCAACGGGGGTCGGTGCAGCCTGCGGGACTCGTGGGCTTCGGAATTGGAAGGGTGGATGGGCAGGAGAGCTCAGACGCTGGGGGTCATGAGTGGAGAGGGTGTGACGGGGGCCTCAGAGGGGAGTTCCTGGGTGGAGCGGCTCCCTTCCACCAGAAAACGGCCTGCTTTGTGATGGGGGTGTGGAGGGAAGGTACAAGACACTGGCTCTGGGCCTGGGGATCGGGGTAGGAGGGCCAGAGAGGGTGTGCAAGCTTTCACATGTAAGGCTTGACCTCTGCGCCCAGGAGCCCCTGCACCCAGAGACCTAACCCATCCCTCAGGGGCAGGTCTCCCACCCGTCCACTCCCCACAGCAGCCTAGGTGGGCAGAAGGCGACTTCCCGCCTCCTACTTAAGAGGGTCAGGCCTCTGGTTTGGGCACCCGAGGCTCGGACTGTCTGAGAATGAGGGGTCCCCACTATTGCTGGGGTGGGGGTCTGGACGCTGCTACCTCGCAGCGATCAGGAGCTCAGTCCCCACCCCGGGCTCAAAGTGTAGGCCAGCAGGGGCCAGCTGGTGACCGACTGGGGAAAGCAGCTGTTTGGGGTCAAAGACCAAAGGCTGGCCTGGCCAGAGGATCGCCTGGCGGCCGGGCGAAACCGGAGCGCTGGAGAGGGGCGCGAGGAGGAATAGGGAGGAGGCGCAGGAGAGGGGCCTCCTCCGGAATGCCGGCTCCGGGAGGAGGGTGCCGGCGCATCCCGGGGAGGGGTGGCAGCGGGGGCCGGGGTCAATACCTTCCTTGGCGCGCGCCCCCGGGGTCAGCGGCGCGCACAGCAGCAGCAGGAGCGCGAGCCCCAGGGGCCAGCGCCGCTCCATGGCGCCGGGCCGGGACCTGCAACCGCGGCCCGCTCGGAGGGGCCAGGTCGCTGGGACTGGGCGGGCCGGGCGGGGGCGAGGGGCGGGGCCAGCGCCAGGGGCGGAGTCCGGCCTCACCTGGATCACCTTCTTAAAGGGACAGGGCAGGAAGGAAACTTGTTAGACAGGTAGTAAACTTCTTGACAGGAATGAGACTACGGGCGCCGCCTAGTGGGTGGGTTTGGAAATTGACTAACCCAGTCCTAATTCTAATCCTAAACCCAGCCCAGCCCAGTCTTGTTTCAGCCTTTATCCTAATTCTCCCTCAGATTAGAGCTACACCCTTGTATTCCCTTCCCTTTCTTCAGGGCCTAGCACTGTAATAGACACCGGCGGAGGAAAGGTTTATGCTTAAGTAGGGGAGGTTTAGATGACGATAGTGCAGGATGGGCTGCAACTCTTAGACAAGCACCTGGATGGTTGAAAGAGGAAGCAAACTCAGTCTGTGGGGCACCGGAGGGTGAGTGTTCAGGGAGTGAGCTGGGTTTTCCGTGGCAGAGATTGGGAAAGGCCTAAGCAAGGGCCTGAAGGCAGGGAGCCTCAAGGTGCACTCTGGGAGTGGTGAATGGACCAGTTTGACTGCTGGGGCACAGGATTTGTCTTGGGAGCCAGGCAGAAAGGCAAGTGCGGGCCAGAGCAGGGAGCTCTTGGTAAACATGTTACGGAGTTCGCACCTTAATGCGCACTGACAGAGCAGACATGAGGAATCTGTGCGCGGCTTTGAGCACAAGTGGTGGAGAAGGCGCAGATCCTGGTGTCAGCCCACGGCCTTCCCACCCTCTTGGACACTACCTTACGTTACATTTAATAAGTATTTATATTCAGTTTCTATTCTGCATGCTTTACTCTCTGAAAACATCAGAGTCAGACAGTCCCTGCCTTAAACAGGCTTTAGTGTGAAGAGTGCTGGGAGCTTGCATGTAAAGCAAGCACACACAACCAAAATGACAGACAGGAGTGGGCCCCAGCAGAGGTGCAAAATGGGGTGAGAGTGGCTCAACGGGGGATGATCCATCCACCGAGGAACAGGCGGTGGGCTCCACTCCTGGGGCCTCTCCTTCCTGTGCCCCTCCCTGGCTCCGGCTCATTTGGATGAATCATTCATAGTTTTTCTGTCACTAAAATTGTTGCATATTTCAGTCACCAAGGAGGAAGGGAGGTGGTGCATTATAGGTGCTTATTTTATTTTCAAAAATGAATACTTCTCAGGTTTTCTTCTTTTTTATACAGGTAAGTACAAGAAGAAAATGGCTGATAATTTCCTGGTCCAGACTATCTTCACTGGCATAAATAAATAAGTAAATAAATAAATAAATTAATTAATCAATTAATTAATTAATTAATGTAATCCATGTACATTGGATGGGAAGTTTACATAGAACAGAAAAGAAACAACACAGAAAGTATAATCCTCCATTCCTCCCACCTTCCAGTTTGTGTCTCCAAGTGAACTACCATCGATTGTTTCTTGAATTCTCCAGATTTTTCCCCAATGTACACACCATTGTATGTTTCTCCTTCTACTCCCGCACACATACAGAGGGGCCATAGGACGCACACTGCTCTGCACCAGGGGCCTCTTTCAAATGTTAAGGACTTTGGGAAGGAGGAGGAGGCTTCACTTCACAGGCTCACTGGGGTCAGAGCTTTGTGATTTCAGCGGGGAGGAATGGGTGAAGGGTGCACAGCCAGCAGAAGGGGGGAAATGGAGCAAGCGTTGGACAATTGCTGCTAGGAAATAAGCCAGACTGTGGTGAGGTAATGCATATGCTCATTGCTGTCGTTTGTTAAAGTTAGGAGACCACTGGGACTCCGTGTAGTGGGAGGTGGTGTGGAGAGTGCTGGAAAGAGGCCTTGCTTTTGTTTTAGGATTGCTTCTCTGTCTCAGTTCTGGAAGTGTTGCAGAAGGGGAAGGAAAGCCCGCCTTCTCTCTCTGTTTAGGATAATCCCAATTTGACAATTCCTCATTTGTTGTAGGAGGAGGCATGCCTTTGGTTTTGGCCTCTGTCCTTAACTAGCAATGCAGCTTTTGTCAAATTATTTATACTCTCTGGACCCTAGTTTCCTAGATCTGGATGATCTCTGAGGCTATTTCCTGGAAAGATGGCAAGATTCAGTCAGAAGACATAGGCCAGCTCTTTTAGCCATTTTGTGTGTCCGTTTTCTTAGCTATAAAATGGGATCAATCATGCCCACCTCATGGGTTGGGTGTGATGATCAAAGGAAGAGAAAGTGTTTCAGTAACTAAGGCACTTAGCACACATTAATGTGCTGGGAGAATGTGGAGGCTCTGACTTACTCAGGTTCTCCTGTGGGCCTCGCAGGCACTCCTGGAGTGCAACAGTCTCTGTGACGAAGACATCATTTTTTGGGTTTTGTTTTAAAAGCAACTTTATTGAGGGATACTTTGCATAAAATGAATTTCACCCATTCCAGGTGTACAGGTCAGTGGGTCCTGACAAATGCTTATGCCCTCATTATCACTGCCTTGGTCAAGATCCAGAACACTTGTATCACCCCAAATGATCCCTGGTGCCCTTTGCAGTTCCTATCGGACCCATTCGATTGGTAAAGATGAGTTTTGTCTGAGGCCTGAATGTCACGTAGTCGCCTGAATCTGCCTTTTTCTCTTCTGCACGATACCCCCAAGTCCCGTGCATGTTGTGGGCATCAGCAATTTGCTCCTTCTGGTTGCTGAGCAGTATTCCCAGTATGGTTGCCCTAAGACATCATTTAACAATACAAAGTCAAACGCTAGAAGTCTCCCTCTGCTCTGTTCTCCCAGAAGCTGTAGTTTCTTAGCTGATGGGGCCCCCAGAGGGATACACCTGTCTTTCCTCTTAGGTGGGGAGAACCCAGACCATCTGGCCCTCTTCTCATTCCGCAGTCTGGAAGGAAAGCCTGCGCCTCCCTGCAGCCTCTTCCGTCTTGGGCTCCGGCTTGCTCCTGCAGCCCCAGCATCAACACTGCTCTGTTTCTGTTGCCTCCCGCCCAGCCCCACCCCACCTGGCTCCTTGCTCACCTGGGATAAGGTGAAATTTCACCCAGCCTGGGTCAAGGCCTTGTATGTCTTTAAAGCTGTAGTTCAAATGCAGTTTAACCAGCAGGGTAACCCACTTAGCTGCTGGCAACCACTATGAAAGCATCAGTACAAATTGGTTTATCTGATTAGTATCACATCCCTAGCAAGGGCCTGTGTGGATGGGACCAGAACAGCTTTGTTTTGGCTGTGTTGGGCTGGCCTGCATTTGTGGGCAGAAAGATCCAGGAGACTGTGTGGGCGGTAGGAAGGGAAGAAACAGCCCTCTCCGAATGGTGTTCCGGTGGATTCTGCACATCTTTGATCACAGGGCTAATCTGGTTCTTCCCTTTCCTTCTGGTCTGTGCTCTAACCTATCTGTTCTCTGACCCGGGCTTACCATCTGGCAACAGGGGTGGGGATAATCATAGTTAGCATGTATTACAGCACCTACGCATGCTGCCAGAGCACTTCACACGCATTATTTCATTTACTTCTCACACCAACCCTTTGAGGAAGGTATTATTAGTCCTGTTTTATTGATGGAAAAACCTGAGGCACAGGGAATTTAAGTTACTTGTTTAAAGTCACCAGTTGCAGGACAAGGATTTGAACCCAGGCCTGTCTGACTCTGGGGCCTATGGCCCCTAATTGGAGTTTCCAGTAGCAAAGAAGGTAGACAGCACCCACATTTTGTGTTTTTACTACCTCCCCGCTCTGTCTGCTCCACCTGAGGGTAACCAATATCCTATCTTAAAACACCATGGATTAGGTTTGACTGTTTTTGAGCTTTATATAAAATGGAATCATCTGATACATATTTTTTAGTGTCTGAGTTCTTTCACTTACACCTATGTTTGTGAGATTAATTCATGTAGCTGTGTGCTAATTCATTCTCATTGCTGTATGCTATTCCACTGTATAAAGAATACCTTATTTTTAAAGACCTCTTGACTGTGGTTAAATACTCTACACTTGAGTTGCTATACTGGGCGACTCCCGTAGTTTATCCGGTTGGTCTGGGTGTCTCTGAAAGACGCTTAATCTTCCCAGAAGGTACTTCCTTTTTTAAAAGAGACTTTTTGCTAGCCCCATGGCTCCTTAATTGATTAAATATACACAGAGGCGGCCTGTGAGCAATGCCACTGACCTATTATCCCACTCCACCTCCCTGCCCTCCTTCACATGTCCCTCCCTTCTTCCATGTCACTTTGCCAAGAAGAAAACACCTGATACTGTTTAAATAGCTGCAACTCTTCATACCAGAAATAGGATTGCGTGAGAGAGAGGCAGTTTGAAGTTTTCTTTTAAGATGTCAGGAGCAAGGGTATCTGTTAGAAAGTTCTAATACTGTCACTTAATAGCCACATGACCTTAGGTCGATCATGTAGCTTTTGTGAACCTCAGTTGCCTGATCTATATAATGGGAGAAATGGTGGTAATGATGTTGGTCCTAGACGTCTACCTCACAGCCTGTGAGGCCAGTTTAAATACGGTTACGTATGCCAGCAGACGCTCCTGGTACCACCGTACAACGCGGGCACACATCCTTTTCATTTTTGTGTCTTCCTATTCAGGGTTACTTGGAAGATAGATTTGGGAAAATCAAGGGGAAAGTGTGCTGAGCCCCTGAATTAAAAGGGATGTTTGGCTGAAGCTTGGATTTCAAGAAGAGTTGAGAGAAAAATAAAGAAAGAGCTAAGAGAAATCACTCTTGTTATCTAGATTATGAGGCATTCACATAATAAATGCCACAGTAACACCTTCAGGTCATATTGCAATTCTCTCTGCATTTCTGTGTTTTTTTTGTTCTGTTTTTTTGTTGTTTTTAAATTGTGTCTCTGTCTGCAATATTAAAATAGTCCAAAGCATTCTGTTTGTTTTATGGGCAAGAAGGTAGTGGAGCAGCTCTGAGCCTGCCTTGCATTCTAGCATGGGCCACAGAGAAGAGGCCACTCAAGTTGAAGAATGGATAGTAGCAGCCACAAAGAAGGGAT